ATGGTGAGGAGACTGAGGATGGTGAGGGAGACTGAGGAGGGTGAGGGAGACTGAGATGGTGGAGGGAGACTGAGGATGGTGAGGGTTGACTGAGGAGGGTGAGGGAGACTGAGGATGGTGAGGAGACTGAGGATGGTGAGGGGAGACTGAGGATGCAGGAGGGAGACTGAGGATGGGGGAGACTGAGGATGGTGAGGGAGACTGAGGATGGGTGAGGGTTGACTGAGGAGGTGAGGGAGACTGAGGATGGTGAGGGTTGACTGAGGAGGGTGGAGAGACTGAGGAGGATGAGGAGACTGAGGAGAGTGAGGAGACTGGGGATGGTGAGGAGACTGAGGATGGTGAGGGTTGGACTGAGGATGGTGAGGGTTGACTGAGGAGGGTGAGGGTGACTGAGGAGGATGAGGGAGACTGAGGAGAGTGAGGGAGACTGGGGATGGAGAGGGAGACTGGAGGAGGGTGAGGAGACTGGAGGATGGTGAGGAGACTGAGGAGGGTGAGGGTTGACTGGAGGAGGATGAGGAGACTGAGGAGAGGAGGGAGACTGGGGATGGGAGGGAGACTGAGGATGGTGAGGTTGACTGAGGAGGGTGAGGTTGACTGAGGAGGGTGAGGTTGACTGAGGAGGGTGAGGGTTGACTGAGGAGGATGAGGAGAATTGAGGAGGATGAGGGAGACTGAGGAGGGTGAGGGGAGACTGAGGATGGTGAGGAGACTGAGGAGGGTGGAGGGGGACTGAGATGGTGAGGGTGGACTGAGGATGGGAGGGAGACTGAGGATGGTGGGGGAGACTGAGGATGGTGAGGGTTAACTGAGGATGGTGAGGTTGACTGAGGATGTGAGGGAGACTAAGGAGGGTGAGGAGACTAAGGAGGGTGAGGGAGACTGAGGAATAGAGGATATAAACATGACGTGTTTCATATAACTTTGGACCCCTGACTCGAAGTTCCGTGATGAATCGATGTTAGTTCAAGGGGGTGTGTGGTGGTGGTGGTGGTGGTGGTGGTGGTGGTGGTGAATGGTATGGAGGTGATGGTGGTGGTGGTGAGGTGGTGTTGGGAGTGGTGGTGAGTGGTAGTGATGGTGGTTACTGGGCTGGTGGGTGGTAGATACTGGGTGGGTAGTCGGATGAGTGAGCGGGTGCGTGATGAATCTTAGTATACACCCGCACTTCCACAGATAATACACCATTCAAACTTACATGCGTCCTTCTTTTTCCTCCTCTAAATTACCTCCCACCTCCCTGATTTCCACCTCCCACATCCCTGATTTACCTCCCCACCTCCTGATTTACCTCCCTCCCTGATTTACCACCCCACCTGATTTACTTCCCACCTCCTCGATTTACCTCCCACCTCCTGATTTACCTCCCACCTCCCGATTTACCTCCCACTCCTCCCTGGATTTACCTCCCACCTTTATTAACCTCCCCACCCTGATTTACTTCCCACCTCCTGATTTCTACCTCCCACCTCCTGATTTACCTCCCCACCCCTGATTTGCTTCCACCTCCCTGATTTATCTCCCACCTCCCTGATTTACCCCACCTCGATTTACCTCCCACCTCCTGATTTATTCTCCCCCACCCCTGATTACCTCCACCTCTGATTTACCTCCCCAATTCCTGATTTCCCTCCCACCTCCTGATTTACCTCCCCACCTCCTGATTACCACCCCCCTGATGATATTGTCTTCCTGTCTTTGTCTTTACTAATTTTTCTTCCTTCCCGTTTATCAACCATTTTTATTATCCTGCTTTCCACCTCTATCATTATACCCATGTTCAGTGTTGGGTGCTTGCCTGGTGACGTCCAGCATCGCCAGGGTGAGCAGAACAAATAAGGAGGGAGGTGTCTGGCAAGATGTAGTGTTGGTATTAGTGCCAGTGACTCTGAGGAAAACACTAGGTAATGGAGACGAAGGTGGAGGAGCAGGGAGGGAGGATGAAGAGGAGGGGAAGAGGAGGAGAAGGAAGAGGACAAGGGGGGAAGAGGAGCAGCAGGAGGAAAGGAGGAGGAGGAGGAGGAGGAGGACATGGAGCAGCAGTAGGGGGAGGAAGATGGGTAGAGGGGAGGAGGAGGAGGAGGAAGCAACAGCAGTGGAGAGAGAAGAGGAAGAGAGAAGGAAGGAGGGGAAGAAGAGGAGGGGGAGAATAGGAAGAAAGAAAATGAAGAAACTGAGAAGAACAACAAATGAATTTAATAGAAGAAGAAGACGATGAGTAAGAAAAAGGAAACAAAAGAAAATATAAAAGATGATAACGAATAAGAGAGAAGCCAAGAATAATGACAATGGTAAGAGAGGCGAGGGGAGGAGAGTAGAGGAGAGAGGTGAGGGAGGAGAGGAGGGACAGGAGAGAGGTGAGGGGAGGAGAGTAGAGGAGAGAGGTGAGGAGAGAGGAGGGACAGGAGAGAGGAGGGGAAGAGAGAGAGAGGGACAGGAGAGAGGTGAGGAGAAGAGGAGAGGAGAGAGGTGAGGGAGGAGAGGAGGGACAGGAGAGAGGTGAGGGAGAAGAGGAGAGGAGAGAGGGTGAGGGGAGGAGAGTGGGGAGGGATAGGAGAGAGGTGAGGGGAGGAGAGTAGGAGGAGAGAGGCGAGGAGAGGGAGAGAGGAGAGAGGTGAGGGGAGAGAGTGAGGGGACAGAGAGAGGTGAGGGAAGAGAGAGAGGGGACAGGAGAGAGGTGAGGGGGGAGAGAGGAGGGAGGAGAGTGAGGGGACAGTGAGAGGGGTGAGGGGGAGAGGAGGGACAGGAGAGAGGTGAGGGGGGAGAGGGTGAGGGAGGAGAGAGGGGGTGGGAGGGAGGAGAGGAGGGACAGAGAGAGGGGTGAGGGGGGGAGAGAGGTGAGGGAGGGGAGAGAGGTGAGGGGAGGAGAGGAGGGACAGGAGAGAGGTGAGTGGGGGAGAGAGGTGAGGAGGAGAGGAGGGACAGGAGAGAGGTGGGGAGGGGTGAGGGGAGGGGAGAGAGGGGAGGGGAGGAGAGTGAGGGACAGGAGAGAGAGAGGTGAGGGAGGAGAGTGGAGGAGGAGAGAGGGGAGGAGGAGAGAGGGAGGGAGGAGAGTGGGGACAGGAGAGAGGTGAGGGGAGGGAGAGAGGGAGGGAGAGTGAGGGGACAGGAGAGGTGAGGGGGGAGAGAGGAGGGAGGAGAGAGGTGAGGGAGGAGAGGAGGGACAGGAGAGAGGGGTGAGGGGGGAGAGAGGTGAGGGGAGGGGAGAGAGGTGAGGGGAGGAGGAGGGGACAGGAGAGAGGGGAGGGGAGAGGAGGTGAGGAGGGGAGAGAGGGAGGGAGGAGAGTGAGGGACAGGAGAGAGGTGAGGGAGGAGAGGTGAGGGGAGGAGAGGAGGGGATGGAGAGAGGTGAGGGGAGGAGAGTGAGGGACATGTGAGAGAGGGAGGAGAGGAGGGACAGGGAGAGGTGAGGAGGAGAGGAGGGGCCAGAGAGAGGTGAGGGAGGAGTGAGGGACACAGGAGAGAGGTGAGGAGGAGAGTGAGGGACAGGAGAGAGGTGAGGGGGAGAGAGGTGTGGGAGGGGAGAGAGGTGAGGGAGGGAGAGAGGTGAGGGAGGAGAGGAGGGACAGGAGAGAGGGGTGAGGGGAGAGGAGGCGAGAGGCGAGGAGGGAGAGATGTGAGGAAGGGAGAGAGGTGAGGGGAGGGGAGAGAGGTGAGGGAGGGAGAGGTGAGGGAGGAGAGAGGGTGAGGGAGAGGAAGGGAGAGAGATAATACATATTACCCTCCACCATCGCCACCTCCCCTGAGTCTCCTCGCAAACTGTACACCTGTCTTGTTAGAAAAGATGCTTAACTAACTAACTAACTAACTGACTAACTAACTGACTGACTGACTGACTGACTGACTGACTGGACTGACTTTATGTTGCTTGGATGTCATACTGTAGGTGGCTGTCTGTCGTGGGTCACCTTCCACACTCTGCAGGTGAGTTACTGTGGTCCTGTACAAGACTCATCCTAAATATTGTTTGGTATAGTAGTGATGTGTACCTTAATATGATACAGCTTTAGTGTGTGTGTGTGTGTGTGTGTGTGTGTGTGTGTGTGTGTGTGTGTGTGTGTGTGTGTGTGTGTGTGTGTGTGTGTGTGTGTGTGTGTGTGTGTGTGTGTTGCCGTCAACACTATTCAACAAGGTAATGGTAAACGACTTGTTATTCCTATCAGTATAAGATGCTTGTTTTATACTGTATGACGTAAGGAACAGCTTTTGTTGCGATTGGTCAGAGGTGAAGACATTTACGAACGCATGATTGATTGAGGAAATTTTAAAACATCATGTTTGGTCGAGGTGAAAACATGAAGTTATGATTGGTTGTGTGAAAAGTATTTATGAAGTTAATGTTTGGTTAAATGGAAGAAAATACTAATTATTGATTGGTTACATGAGAAAATTACAGGCAGAACAAAATGAATCAACTAAACGTTATTTCGTTATTGACTCGGTATTAGTCTAAAGTACAAAAAGTTGTAAAGTCACTTTTGATTAAACGAAAGAAGAAAAGTTTTATGAACAAGTGTTAGTCCATGGCTGGCCGTATACCTTCATGTGGTGACACTTGGAGGCAGGTAGTGCGGGCTACCCTGGCAGGTGAGGTAATTACCCAGGTGTAGGAGCACTTGTACCATCATTACACTACAGGTAATACTGGCTGGGAACACTTGCCTTTACGCTCTTATCTTATATCACGTTCAAGCGATATAATAACATACTGTGGTGCTGAACAGTAGTTATGTTTTATTGTTATTTATAAATCTGTAGTTCTGGTCTAATTATATTCACACCTATAATATATTTTATATTCAATGAAATGAACTTTCTATTCCCGAGAAGGGCTTGTGGAACGTGACGTATCTGTCGGGAGCATCATACTCTCCCAGGTACTCCACTCCGCCAGGGGCAGAAGAATGTCTCTTCATCCAACTCGAAGTTACTCTGGGGTAAAGATATAAAACAATCCTGGGTCATCTTTTAGTGTTAATGATATATTGGGGAGCAAGATGACCTTAGTGATACATGTGAATGGTATTGTAAGAAAAAAAATACGTATAGAATCTCTTAGGTCCAATACCTTTGTTACTCAGGTACTCTGCGGTAGATAGCACATGGGTTAAAACCTAAATTATTTTTTTTTATCAAGCCTATGCTTTGTTTTTTATTGTTTACAGTGAGAGCTACACAACTCCTTTTTCCAATATAAAGTTGTATATTTTCTGAAATAAACAGAGAAGTGAGGTGAAGACATGCTGACGAGACCTCAACGGTTAATTACAAGAGCTTCCACAGGTGAATGCCCCACCTGAGAAGGCCTCCTTCAGCGGGTCCTCCAGCACCTTGAGGCCACCTCTAGCTGCCTCCAACCTGTTCTATATTGAGGAATACCTTTACCATTTTTTTCTTTAAGGATTTTGTGCCTTGAGGTACCAGAAGAGAAAGTTCATTCCGGTTTTGAAAATCAGTGCCCGTAATGCCTCCACTAAATTCCTGCACTCCGACCCAGAGGTTCGTACATTAAATATTCACCCCAAACTGGACAAGTGAAAACGTATCGAAGCTCACTTACGCTACCATATAAACAGCCTAGCGTCGAAATTTGCCTTGAGATTCTATTGTAATGGGATGCAATTTTTCTATCCCTGGTTATGAGAGAAAAAGAAACGTAAGAAACTTTAAGAATCTCTCCCAGGGTTTTCATACACAGAATACCGTCAAATATGCCTCACGATTCTACCGTAACGAGAAGGGTTTTTGTAACCCTAGTTAAGGCAGATAAGAAATTAACCGACGAATCTCTGAGAATCTTTCCTGCTGTTCTCTACTCATTAATTCACGATCCCGCCGCCAGATAGCCCTACTAGCTCTGGGTTTACGTCCTTCTGGCTGAATAAACCCCGATGGCTTTATACTATGGGTATCTTGAGCTGCGGACGAGCATTGTGTTGATATTTACAGGGTGTAGCTTAAGTGTGCGTCTGTCTGTGTGTCATAGCTGGAGGATGAACATGACGTGATTTATGTCTCTGATGACGTGGGATGGAATGTTTTTGTCTGCTGTTTAATTTAGTGTGATTTATTATTATTTTGGTCTGTTCTCAAGTTAGGTTCTGAGGTATTTTTATTGTTTCGTGTTTTCATGCTTCCACCACCTGTGGCAGGAGGCATTAAATGTTTTTGTTTGTTTTTTCCGCTCGTCCGTCAGTTCAGGTTTACTCTTGGGCGAAAATGAACAAAGATATTTCCTGGTTCAGCAAACACTATAACGAGACACAGACGGCGACTTGGCCCACAAAAAACTGGGCAGAGCTGACCAGGAGGAACCTTTCTCAACTTGCCGGGTTCTGAGTTGTGTGTTAGCTCACCTGGAAGACAATGTTGATCCAGGCAGCGAGGTCCTGCTATAATGTTAAATAGTTATAGGTAATTGAGAGCTTTAATTAAATGGCTGAAGAGATCGGAATTTATGTCTCCTGTGACATTACAACTGTTAAGCAGAAGAGTGACTATATTTCACAGTTTGTAGACGAGAACCCGTAGTGTTAATTACGTGGAGGCTGTTTGTTAGTGGCCCCAGCAGGTGTGTTGCTTTCTCCCACAGCTTTAAATGACATGAGTTACATCCTCCTGCCACCACCTGCCACCTCCATAGTGTTCACTACACATACTTTGCAATTTGTGTCTGCCGTTCTATAAGTATACAACATACAGTGTGTCACCTCAGACTGTAAGAACAGTTTGTGGTCCTGAAGTCAAGCACGACTCTTCTTGTGTTGTTATCGGCGGCACAAATACTGTGAACCGGGTGAAAGATTGTTACTTACTGAAGGCTGGATCACGACGTATACTGCCTCTCATATCTGGCCTGTTGTTGTGCACCTTACTGCAGGGTAAACAGAACCCCAAGGCCCAGATGCTCTCACAACATGCTACCTCGAGTTAGGTTGGTTAGGTTAGGTTAGATTGTGTTTGGTTGGGTTAGGTTAGCGTTAGGATTTTATTATCAGGTTGAAATAAACTAGGGTACTAATCTTCATGTAATCCTATAATTCTTCAGATGCTTTTGTATGATCGTAGTCAAGAAACGTAATTTTCCAGAGGCGTCACCCCTCGTTCAGTGACACAAAGTCAACAACATAAAGCGCCACTGAGCTCGTAAAACTCTTAAACAACGTGGACAGTGTGTGACTCAGGGATCATGAAGCTGTTGACTGACGGCCATGTTGATCACCAGACATAGTGAGGTTGAATATTGTTCTGATATAACTGACCTCTCCTCACCACTGATGGAGAACTAGACAACATTTGAAGGTAGTGGGAGGAGTATTATCTATATGTTGTCTTTATAAATTATTTAGTAATGCAAATGTATATAACGTGTTTGTTATATGAGGGATAGTTTAACTCACAGCTGATAGTGTGGTGTTGTGTGGTGAGGTGACTGTGTGTAGTGTTGGTGTGGTTAGGGTGACTGTGTTTAGTGTTGTGTGGTGAGGTGACTGTGTGTAGTGTTGTGTGGTGAGGGTGACTGTGTGTAGTGTTGTGTGGTGAGGTGACTGTGTGTAGTGTTGTGTGGTGAGGTGACAGAGTTACCATGTTATTTAGATCATTAATTGTTGTTGTAATATTATAAGCCGATGTTGTATTTAGTTTCATATTGTTACTTGAGTAGTGATGTAGTAGACGACTTGACATATAGTGAAGATAGGTCACACACACACACACACACACACACACACACACACACACACACACACACACACAGTCAGCTCCATAATTAGTTTAATTACATTTGTGTTTAAACATATCTGGTGACGTCAACATATTTAACACTAACGACTCATCTCTCCCACAGGTATGTCGAGTGAAGGTGTGATGGCGGACACATCCCGTCACAGGTAAACTGATTATTACAAAGCCTGTACATGATGTGTCTAAAAGGCGCGTTACAGGTTGAGATTAGTGTTTAATAATCACTAAGGCTGGATCAGTTAAGTGGTCTAGAGAAACTATTCAAGGCTTGGTGGACTATATCCTCGCCTCTGGGATAATGTATATTACAACAACTGACCAGAATTTCCTGGTGATTGACGAAGCGTGATTGTCACTTCTCTCCCCATGAAGACAAACAATTGTAACTTTGTTTGTACAGCTGAGCAGGATGATCACCTTCTGGGGTGAACGTCTCTCACTGCTGGGATGATCACCTTCTGGGGGGTGAACGTCTCTCACTCCTGGGATGATCACCTTCTGAGGTGAACGTCTCCTCACTACTGGGATGATCACCTTCTGGGGGTGAACGTCTCTCACTCACTGGGATGATCACCTTCTGGGGGTGAACGTCTCTCACTCACTGGGATGATCTGAGGTGAACGTCTCTCAGGTGAACGTCTCAGAAAGTGATCCTGCATTTATGAAAATTGAAGAAAGTTTTATAAAAAATAGCTATTACAAAGTATTATTTTGAAAGTAGACCAAGGATATTTAAGAACGTACATCCTACTTTGAGGGAAGAAATCATGAATTAAACTATTAGGTTAAATAATCTTGGCTCTGGAATAGATTACTGATAAAAAGTTGACAAAGTCTCTGACTGAGACTAATTTGTAAGGTGACCAGCCACTACAAGTTGAGCGACAATGAAAAATCTGATGTCTGACCGCCTCAACAGAAGCATTATGCTAATACTTTGAACGTGCTGAGGTTTATTTAGGCCTAGAACAGTGGATCATTATACCAGTGTGTGTGTGTAAGTGTGAATGTTTAGTCCTAGGAACTTGCAAGGCCATACGTTCAACAGTAGTTATATGGTCAAGCTTGGTAGTGAGTGTTAGAGTGTGTCGATGATCTAGAATATTGTCTTACGTCCGGGAGTGAAATTATAACATAGATTAAATTATGATATGAATGGAAGGTCTTGTTTGGTGTGCTGGTTACTGTGTGGGCGACCCGCTAGTCACGGTACATCTCTCATACACTCATACACTCAAGTACACCTGTATACCCACACACTCAAGATAGCTGACATTTAAGATTGTATCCACTTTTTGCATAGTAACTATATCACTTCCCATGTATAGGAGACAGAGCATCAGCGTCAAATTACCGGCCAATCAGTTTGACGTCAGTAGTGGGAAATTTCTTGAATCAATTATAGCAGATAACATCCGATCGCATTAGAAAAGCAAATTAATCTACGACTCTCAACATGGGTTTACAAAGGAAAATCTTGTCTAACAAATTTGCTGACATTTTTAGGAAAGTCTTCGAGGTTGTAGATAATGACGAAAATACGATGTTATTTATAGACTTTAGCAAAGCATTTGACAGAGTACCGCATCAGAGGCTTCTGAGAAAAATTAAGGCTCATGGTATCGAGGAAGTTTTAAATTGGATAAAATCATGGCTCACCGATAGAACGCAGAGGGTCAGCGTAGATGGTGTTAAATCTGAGTGGGGTCGTGGAACCAGTGGGGTTCCCAGGGGTCAGTACTAGGCCCTCTTGTTCATAATCTATAAACGATCAAGATACTGGGATCAGCAGTGACATAAGCAAGTTTGCGGATTACACCAAAATAGGGCGGCAGATTAATTCAGGGCAGGATGCAAATGCATTACAGGAGAATCTGCAGGGTGGTCTGAAAAATGGCAAATGAAGTTCAACACCAGCAAGTGCAGCGTGCTTAATATTGGAAGAACAAATACTGTCAGTGTATACAGCCTTTACAACATCAACAGAAAAGTCGACTTGTGAAAGAGACCGAGGGTACTTGTAAGCCCGGACCTACGGCCTGAAAACAGTGCATTGTTGTTCGAGAAATAAGGCAAACAGAATATGGGTTTATATCTAGAAGTTAAGTAATAAGAGTGCAGAGAGTCTTATGCAACTATATCTTCTTGCGCTAGTCAGGCCGCACCTCGATTATGCGGTTCAGTTCTGGTGCCCTTATTATAGAATGGATATCAATTCACTAGAGTCGGTGCAGCGAAGAATGACGAAAATGATTCGGGACTTAGAAACCTTCCATATCAGGATAGGTTAAAGAAACTAAACTTGCATTCCCTAAAGACGAAGAGTGCGGGGAGATATGATAGAAGTATTTAAGTGGTGAAAGGAATCAATAAGGTGATATAGATAAAGTTCTTATAATATCCGAGCAGGATAGGACTCAGGAACAACGGATTCAAGTTGGATAAGTTTAGGTTTAGGAGGGAATGGGAAGAAACTGGTTTACAAATAGGGTGGTGGACAGGTGGAACAAGCAGCTTGCAGTGGCTGGAACTGGAAAGTTTCAAAGGCTGGATAGATTCATGGATGATAGAGAGTGGTAGTCACTCCGACAGGAGCAATATGCACAGGCCAACCGGCCTATTGCAGACTCCTTATTTTCTTATGTTCTTATGTTCTTATGAACCAAACACAAATGTGTGAATACATCTCACGCAATGTGAATAACAAAGTGTGTGCAGCCAGACATACTGCCTCACATGTACTCACGCAGTTGAGAATAAGTTACCCTCTGTGTACAGTGCCATAATATCCTGACCACGGTGGTTAGTTATACAGACACTTTGTGATCTCTACTCTGTAATCCTTTACTGTCCTTTCACAAGATGAGTATAGGGTGCACAATAACTGCATGTAAGTGGCAGAATAAATTAATCACACACACACACACACACACACACACACACACACACACACACACACACACACACACACACATCTTTAGCTCAGTTGTATGGACCTAGGTGGAAACACATAGCACAGATGAAAGAGTCTGTAACACAATCAGCTTCACAGATAGTTAGGAGCCTGTCTGGAGGTAGTGAGGTGTTTGTCATGGACGCCACCTTAAGTATCTCTGTTCACAGATTAGTCAACCGTTATTCCTTGTACGTCCCTTCTGTACATTGGGATGGGGACCTTATGTGATATACAGTACAGTACGTATTCATGTTTGTACCAATACGTCTGTATTTTATATTGGATTTTGCAGTACGGTTTTCCTTGTCATAGTACCCATAATACCGATCCTCTTGGTAACTCACTCAACCTTAGTCCTCCTGGTCACTCACAACCACAGTCCCCTGGTCACTCACAGCCACAGCCTGGTCAGTCCCAACCACAGTCCCCTGGTCCTCCCAGCCACAGTCCCACTGGTCACTCCCAGCCACAGTCCCCTGTGGTCAGTCACAACCACAGTCCCCTGGTCCTCTAGCCACAGCCCCTGGTCCTCACAACCACAGTCCCCTGGTCCTCCACGCCACAGTCCCACTGGTCCTCACAACCACAGTCCCCTGGTCACTCCTAGCCACAGTCCTTGGTCACTCACAGCCACAGCCCTGGTCAGTCACAACCACAGTCCCCTGGTCACTCACAGCTAGCCCCTGGTCACTCACGCCACAGTCCCCTGGTCACTCACAGCCACAGTCCCTGGTCACTCACAGCCACAGCCCCTGGTCAGTCTACAACCACAGTCCCTGGTCACTCCCACAGCCCCCTGGTCACTCACAACCACAGTCCCCTGGTCTGCTCACGCCACAGTCCCATGGTCACTCCACAGCCACAGTCCTGGTCACTCACACCACAGTCCCCTGGTCAATCACATCCTCAGTCCCCTGGTCCTCCCAGCCACTGTCCCCTTGTCCTCACTCCAGCAGTCCCACTGGTTCCTCACAACCTCGTCCCCTCATTCCTCCCAACCACGTCCCCTGGTCACTCCCTCAACCTCAGGTCCCCTGGTCCTCCTCCTGGTCCAGTCCCTTATTCCCCCACCAAGGTCTCTTGAAAGAACAGATTGTGAATGGTATTAATGGCAGTTCTGTTGGGGCCTTTTTTGTTTAATGAGCAACGTTCGTGTCTATGGCCTCTGTTATTTCGTTAAAATGTTCAGTGATTATGTTTTGCCTTCCTTTGGTATCAGTACACACACACACACGACAGACACTCAGCACATCACGGTGTTATTCCTGGTCGTGTTTACCCTCCTGGACACACCGTCCCCGCCTGAATGATCTCAAGTAACTGCTGATGTTGGCCCTCTGATCACCCACCGCCGCTACCCTCGTGTGGCGTCACTAAAACAAGCCGTCGGTATTGTTTTGATATGGAAAGTAAGAGAGGATGAACTATTCCATTTTCAATTGTTTAATAGATCAAGGAAAGGTATTATTGCCTGTGTGGTGTTAATGATTCCGGCGGCTGACTTATATTTTTGTACCTGTGCTTTTACCTGTAATTTACATCCTCTTCATCCCTGTAATAAAAGAAACGGTAACTTATTTACGTTTATGCTATTGCAATAACAAGAATAATTTTATTTTTTAATAAGTGCACTACCTACAACCTTACTTGTTATAGTGCCTGGAACAGTCTTTGTTTCTCAAATAAAACTGATGTCAGTCTCGTTCAAGATTCTTCGAACACTGCTGGAGACAGCTGGCAACTCAGGGCCGTTTGTTTACTATAATACGTAGTAAAAATATGAATTAATCTAAGGTTATCGGTGATTGGTTACCTAGTCCCCGTTGCTTAGTTAATGGTAGGGCTTTGTTTGTTTCGTATTATGTTATACTACGTGCTATAGTAAACAAACGGACTTGAGTTGCCAGTTGTCTCCAGCAGTGTTCGAAGAATCTTGAACAGTGAACATCAGTTTATTGTTCTTAATTATTATAAAAGAAAATGAATTAACTAATGTATTCCTAATAAGGCCAGAGAAAGGTGAAATTTACGTCTGAAAATAAAATTTTTCTTAAATTAATCAAGACAAATTACATTGTTTTGGTCAGGGGTTCAAGGTAGGTTTTGAGATGATATATATATATGTCTTGGTAATTAAACCAGTCGTAATATTAATTTATTAGTTATTACAGGTGATATAATCGTTTATATGATGTAAGGCGTATGAGACGAGAGAAGAGTGTGTGTGTGTGTGTGTGTGTGTGTGTGTGTGTGTGTGTGTGTGTGTGTGTGTGTGTGTGTGTGTGTGTGTGTGTGTGTGTGTGTGTGTGTGTGTGTGTGTGTGTGTGTGTGTGTGTGTGTGTGTGTTGTGTGTGTGTGTGTGTGTGTGTGTGTGTGTGTGTGTGTGTGTGTGTGTGTGTGTGTGTGTGTGTGTGTGTGTGTGTGTGTGTGTGTGTGTGTGTGTGTGTGTGTGTGTGTGTGTGTGTGTGTGTGTGTGTGTGTGTGTGTGTGTGTGTGTGTGTGTGTGTGTGTGTGTGTGTGTGTGTGTGTGTGTGTTTTGAGTTATAGTGTCACAGTTATACCACCAGCTCTATACTTTGTGTGCAGACTTACCTGGGAATACAAGTAGTATGTAACAGCTCTTCCGAGGGGCGGAGGAGGAGGCCACAAGTCGAGCAAGCTACAGTTATACCCCAGAGTTATAAATTACCCCAATGAAATATAATATGAGACTTAGACATACTTAATGCCGTCTAGAAAAGTCTCCAGTAATTCAGGACATAAACAGCTGTCGGTCTCTAGCTTCTCCTCTCTCCCTCCCTCCCTCCCTCCTTCCTCCCTGTAGTAGATGTATTCTCTAGCAAGTGTCCCATGTTGTGTGTCCCATGTTGTGTGTCCCATGTTGTGTGTCCCATGGTGTGTGTGTCCCATGGTGTGTGTCCCCATGGTGTGTGTCCCATGGTGTGTGTCCCATGGTGTGTGTCCCATGTTGTGTGTCCCATGTTGTGTGTCCCATGTTGTGTGTCCCATGGTGTGTGTCCCATGGTGTGTGTCCCATGGTGTGTGTCCCATGTTGTGTGTCCCATGTTGTGTGTCCCATGGTGTGTGTCCCATGGTGTGTGTCCCATGGTGTGTGTCCCATGTGTGTGCCCATGGTGTGTGTCCCATGGTGTGTGTCCCATGTTGTGTGTCCCATGTTGTGTGTCCCATGGTGTGTGTCCCATGTTGTGTGTCCCATGGTGTGTGTCCCATGGTGTGTGTCCCATGGTGTGTGTCCCATGGTGTGTGTCCCATGATGTGTGTCCCATGGTGTGTGTCCCATGATGTGTGTCCCATGGTGTGTGTCCCATGTTGTGTGTCCCATGTTGTGTGTCCCTTGGTGTGTGTCCCATGTTGTGTGTCCCATGTTGTGTGTCCCATGGTGTGTGTCCCATGTTGTGTGTCCCATGTTGTGTGTCCCATGTTGTGTGTCCCATGTTGTGTGTCCCATGGTGTGTGTCCCATGTTGTGTGTCCCATGGTGTGTGTCCCATGTTGTGTGTCCCCATGTGTGTGTCCCATGTTGTGTGTCCCATGTTGTGTGTGTTGTCCCATGGTGTGTGTCCCATAATTGTGTGTCCCATGTTGTGTGTCCCATGGTGTGTGTGTCAGTGTGTCCAGTTGGCCAAGTGTCACCAGTGTTTAATGATAGATGATGGGTGTTAGCTGTGAGAATCTTATCGTGTTGTTCTAATCCTTCAGCCAACCAGTCTCCTCATGCCTCCTCTCCCGCCTAACCTCCATACCTCAAACCTCCGCCTCAGCCTCCCTTTACGATCCCCCATCTTCACCTCTAATACATTTTCTCCCTCTCTCTCAACACTACCCCATCTCTCTCTCTCCAACACTACCTCCATCTCTCTCTCTCCAACACTACCTCCATCTCTCTCTCTCTCCAACACTACCTCCATCTCTCTCTCTCTCCAACACTACCTCCATCTCTCTCTCCAACACCATCCCCAACTCTCCTTCTCTCTTCAACAGTACTTCCATCGACCCCTCTCTCTCCAACACTACTTCCAACACTCCCTCTCTCTCTCTCTCTCTCCAACACTACCTCCATCTCTCCCCCTCTCTCTCCAACACTACCTCCACCTTTGTCGGTAAAAATAACCCAAAAGTGTGTAGCTAAGAAAGAATTGAATTAAGTAGAGGTTGTGTGTTCCGTCTCGTGTATTCAGTCCTGGAGGCTGGAGGACCTACCCTGAGTGTTTGGTCAACGTACATTTCTCCCTCCCAGAAACTTTATTCATTGAGGGAGGAAGAGAGGGTGAGGGGGCGGGGATGGAGGGAAGGTGGGGGAGTGAGGAGGTGGGGGATAGAGGGATGGAGGGGGTAGGGGAGTGAGGGAGGTTGATTTGGTGGGGGTGAGGGAGGTCGTGAGCCCCAGAGGTCACGGCTTGATGAGTGACCTCGCCTCGCCGACAATTTGCCTAAGCTGCTTCAAGTACTTAGAGCATAATGATGTTGGTAGAGTCTGGCCATACTGTCGAGGATTGTGTCGTTGAAGGTTTTTTGTTAGATCTATCTGGTAAAAGTGTCGGGAAGATCTGGCAACAGTGTCAGGAGGATTTATTTCATAAGGATCTGGTAACAGTGCTAGAGATGGTGATGATTTATTTCATGCGGATTTGGTAACAGTGTCATAGATAATGAGGGTTTATTTTCAGGATAATCTGGTAAGAATGTTATGTAAGGGGTTTCTGTCAGGAGGGTCTGGTAACATTTTCGTGTGTAGATTTTCTGTCAAGATGCTCTGGTAACAGTGTCAGAGATGGCGAGAGTTTATTTCATGGGGATCTGGTAAAAGTGTCATGTGAGGGTTTTCTGTCAGGAGGATCTGGTAACAGTGTTATGTGAGGGTTTTCTGTTAGGGGGATCTGGTAACAGTGTCAGGGATGGCGATGGTGAGGGTTTATTTCAGGATCTGGTAACAGTATTATGTGAAGGTTTTCTGTCAGGGGGATCTGGTAACAGTGTCAGGGATGGCGATGGTGAGGGCTTATTTCAGGATCTGGTAACAGTGTTATGTGAGGGTTTTCTGTCAGGGGGATCTGGTAACAGTGTCAGGGATGGCGATGGTAAGGGTTTATTTCAGGATCTGGTAACAGTATTATGTGAAGGTTTTCTGTCAGGGGGATCTGGTAACAGTGTCAGGGATGGCGATGGTGAGGGTTTATTTCAGGATCTGGTAACAGTATTATGTGAAGGTTTTCTGTCAGGAGGATCTGGTAACAGTGTCAGGGATGGCGATGGTGAGGGTTTATTTCAGGATCTGGTAATAGTGTTATGTGAGGGTTTTCTGTCAGGAGGATGTGGTAACAGTGTCAGGGATAGCGATGGTGAGGGCTTATTTCAGGATCTGGTAACAGTGTTATGTGAGGTTTTCTGTCAGGAGGATCTGGTAACAGTGTCAGGGATGGTGTTGGTGAGGATTTATTTCAGGATCTGGTAACAGTGTTATGTGAGGGTTTTCTGTCAGGGGATCTGGTAACAGTGTCAGGGATGGCGATGGTGAGGGCTTATTTCAGGATCTGGTAATAGTGTTATGTGAGGGTTTTCTGTCAGGGGATCTGGTAACAGTGTCAGGGATGGCGATGGTGAGGGTTTATTTCAGGATCTGGTAACTGTATTATGTGAAGGTTTTCTGTCAGGAGGATCTGGTAACAGTGTCAGGGATGGCGATGGTGAGGTTTATTTCAGGATCTGGTAATAGTGTTATGTGAGGGTTTTCTGTCAGGAGGATGTGGTAACAGTGTCAGGGATGGCGATGAGGATTTAGATCAGCGACTTACGGATTTTTGTTAGAGAATAAAAATAATATCTTACCATCGCTTTACTAACAAAAAATGATCTTCTTCAGCTAAATTTACACAGGAATATTCTTCATAATATACTTTAGAAATGAGACGTAGAAGAGATATACTGTGTATTTTAAAGACGAAACACAGTCATCAAGTTGTACTGTATATAGTGTACGACTATCCCTACCCCCCAACACACACACACACACTACTATTACTACTACTACTACTACTTTTCTGTCACTCGAGTCGAGTATGACGAT